TGTGGAGAGGGAGGGAGGCCAACCATGAGAGACTCTTGAATGCTGAGAACAAACTGAGGGCTGATGGGGGTGGGGGAGAGAGGGGAAGGGGGATGATGGGCAAGGAGGAGGGCACTTGCTGGGATGAACACTGGGTATTATATGGAATCCAACTTGACAATAAACTATTAAAATAATAATGATAATAATAAATTGCCACCAATTCAAAAGGTTCTACTTACAGATCAAAAACATGGAGAAGAAATACATAATAGCAACAAAAACATCAACTACCAAGGTACTTAAAAAGAAACAGAAACAATATAAGGAAAAAAATTTTTAATTATCTCAGAAAATAAAGACTTGAAAAAAATGATATATCTCGTGTTCAAAAGATGGAAAGAATAAATTTTCCCCTCACTTAATAAATTAGTTCAATTCAAATCAAAAGTGTAATGAAAGGAAACTTTTTTTAACTTAAAGTGATTCTGAAGTTCATGTATGATAAAGTTTGGCAAACTTTTTCAGTAGAAGGCCAGATAATAAATATTTTAGGCTTTTCAGGCTGCATATGATCTGTCATATTTTTTTCTTTTCTTCCTTTCTTCATCCCTATCTCCCTCCTTTGTTTCTCTCACCCTCTTCCTCATCTTCTTTCCCTCCTTCCTTCCTTCCTTCTTTCCTTCCTTTTTCTTTTCTTCCCTTCCTCCCTCCTTCTCTTTCTTTCTATTCTTTAGAAGCCTTTAAAAATGTAAAGACCATGCTTAACTCACTGGCTTGACAATAGCGTGCTGTAGGCCAGGGCATACACCATAGCTTTATGATTCCCTGATCAAAAAGAATACAAGGTTTCTAAAACATATGAATAATATGTAAGGAACATGCCTTACTAAGTTTAAGGTATATCACACAACTACAATGAATTTAAAAGTGTGATAATGATTCAATATTTAATATACACATCAACTAAACAAAATAACAGAATCAGTTTCAAAACTATATAATGATTATCTGTATGTGATCATATGTAGAGATGTATAACACATTTTTAAACCTGAAATATGAAAATTTTATAAGAGCAATTTAAGAAATCTCAGGGAAGAATCTGTTAAATTTAACTATATAATAAACACAGACTGCCTTAATTACTTGAAATAGAATAGAAATAAAAATATGCAACTTACGATGTCACAAATACCAAATAAAATTGAAAGGCAAAAAAACCCCTAAGAAAAATATTAATCAATAGTAGAACACAAATTTATATTCTTTTCAATATTTTAAAGAACAAAACTTATTTATGCCAATAGAAAAATATAAAATTACAGAATTAAAAATGTGCCTGAAAAAATGTTTAATCTCCTTTGTAATTAAAGAAATATAAAATATAAAATACTAAAATAGCAAAGATAGTCATAAAATGGTCACATGTGGAATTGTCATAGGTGAGGAGAAGGTAAGCCTCCTATATACTGCTGATGCCACTGTATATAAAAACATTCTGCAGGGTAATTTGACAATATATAGCAAAAGTGGCCAAATGTGCATGTCCCTTTCTTTAATGCAACTATTCTATTTCAAAGAATTTTTCTAAAACAAAAGCTAGCAATAAATAAAAAGATGTGTAAGATAAATGAAGACACAGCATTTAAAGTATTAAAATATAGGAAATACTGGAATAAAAATGATGGTATCTCCTACTTTCTTTGAAAAGTACACAAAAACCAAAGGAGAATGAGAAACAAGAGGAAACTATCTTTTGTTGAAACTAGGAAACATGTATAACCCCCGCAAAACACATGAAAAAAGAACAGACTTCTAATTTGAGGGACATTTTTGAAAGCCATGTCTGACAATTTTGGCTCCTCTAGGGAAAGAACATTTCAGCTGTGTCTAATGCTTCTCTGATGAATCTTAACAAAATCCAGTATTGGAATGACCTATCTTTTACACGAAAACTACAAGTACACACTGAATCTATTTAACTGTGTAACTAACATGAACATAAACGTGGGAATTATGGTTACTGAAAAAGTATAAGTGTTATGCACATTTGATATAACTAATAAGTTATAAATACCTAGTATAATTGATTTTTGATTATTGGTATAATTAATAAAAGTCCTGAGGAGAGAAGGAAATTAGTAATGTTCTATTTGTTGACCTGATTGGCCACATGGTATTCCTTTTTATAATAACTCTATTAAATGGTTCATATATACTTTTATGTACTTTTCTACTTTTCTCTATGTATATTTCATAAGTTGAAAAAAGTCAAAACAAAATCCTCAATGGATGAGTTCACTAGCAATAGAGAAAAATACTCACGTGGAAGAAAAAACTGATTAAATTACCTAGACTGCAACCTAAAGACAGAAAAAGTAAAAGAGAGGTCAAAATGCATGGAGAATATTGTGAGAAGATGTCATATCTAATGGGAGTTCAGAGAGGACAGAGCAAGGAAATAGGACAGAGGCAATATTAAAGGAGATGATGGATAAGAACTTGATAATAACAACAATTCAAAGGTTCACAAAGCCTCAAAAGACAAAAAAAGAAATCTATACCTTAAAACTACAGAATATCAAAATCTGAAAAGCAGTCAGAAAAGAAAGACAGGTAATCTTCAAGTGACAAACTGACTGCTATCTTATCAACAATAACAATGGAAGTCAGAATCCAGTGAAATGAGTTCCTCATATGCTGAAAGAAAAGATCTATAAATCTAGTGAAAATACCTTTCACTTTGGAGTAAATGGAACTCTCGGACATTGCGGATGAGAGTATAAAAGCATAATTCCCACACATTCATTTATATTTCAGTTACACAGATTAACTATTTACACTGTTGAGGTACCTGGGTGGCTCAGTCGGTTAAGCGTCCGACTTCAGCTCAGGTTACAATCTCATGCTGGACTCTGTCTCCCTCTCTTTGCCCCTTCCCTGCTTGTGCTCTGTCTCTCTCTCTCTCTCAAAAATAAATGAACATTGAAAAAATTAAAAAATAAATGAATAACTATTTACATAAATAGATTCAGTGTTCATTTGTAGTAAAATTGAGGAAAGTTTTGCAATTTCTTATAAAAAATAAACATCTGACCCATATGACCCAGTAATTCCATTACTATGTTTTTACAAGAGAAATGAAAAACACAGGTCAACAGACAGACATATACTGAGGTTCACAGCAATTTACTTCAAAATGGCTAAAAACTGAAAACAACCCAAATGTCCATCTACTGGTAAATAGATAAATAAATTGGGGTATACTCATAAAGTAAACTAGTACTCAACAATTAAACAAACTATTGTAATATGTAACAATATGTAAGCAAGACACAAGAGTACCAACTGTGTCATTCCATCTATATGAAATCCTAGAAGAGGCAAAACCAATTATAGTGATAAGATCAATGGTTACTTCTTGGCTGGAAAAGAAATGACTATAAAAGGACATAAAGGAACTTCTAGAGTGATGCATATGTTCTACATTTTGATTGTGGTGGTAGTTACACAGATATACCCATTTGCCAAAACTCATCAAACTGCACATTTAAAATGTGTGCATTTTATCGTATATAAGTTATACTTCAATTAAATTGACTTTTAAAACATCTTTCAAGATTTAGGGGAAAACAGAAATATTTTGATACTAACAAAAACAGAGTAAGTTTTTACTTCTAGAAAATCTTCGGAGAGGTAAATTCTAAATTATATTCTTCAGATAAAAAGAAAGTGATTTAAAAAGAGAGGTCTGAGCCAAAAGAAGGAAAGGAGAGCAACAACAACAAAGATATGAGCAAATCTAAATAAATGCTAACTTTAGAAAATAACACTTTGTGGAATTAAAAAGTAGAATTAAACTAAATATGGTAACAACAAGAACCTTGTTCTGAGAGTGTTCTAAAATTCTTTTGTGACTTAAGATGAGGATAAAGGTAATTATCCACTATGGATTTTGTGGAGCTAAGTATACATGTTAAAATTTTGAGGGCAACCACTAAAATAGTAGAAATAGAGAATATAATTTCCAAAGCCAGTAAAAGAGAAAACGGATGGAGGTGGGAGTAGAGGGGGAGGGGGGAGAGGGGGAGAAAGACCAACAATCAATACAGAAAGTGACAGGAAAGGAGAGAAAAAAGAAACAGAAAAAGTGGGACAAATAGGACAAAACAAGATGATTAAACATAATAAATGAATTATAAAGAAGTTGTTTTTGGCAAATTAGCATGGGTTGCTGGCTTCCTTTTTCAAAATCAGTCTAAAAAAGCTACACAATTAAGACAGAAACATGAATTCCAGAAACCTAACAAAAGAGAAGCATGAAAAAAACCAGTGAGACCTAAGGCTGTCTTAAACTGGTATGTGTTATGGAGCTAGATGGCTAACTCTAAGGGCAAAGTGCAGCTTAAGGCAGCATTGAGAGGATAGAGAGGATAAAAATCTTATTTTAAGTCTTATTCTGCCTCTCTCCTCTTCACTGTGGAACAGTCATCTCTTGCCTCTTCATTCTAGACATCAGCTAGTGTTCACAGACAAATATCAGGGCAATGGAGAAATCCTGTTGACTAAGGAGTTAAAAACAGCTGTGGACTGACCAACTGCCTCAAGCATTCAACTTCCCATCCCCTCTATCCCCTCCCCATCCAAAATATGGAGACAGCCTCCTCCTTATGCCACTAAGGTACACAAATCAGTTTCTGTGGTTTATATCTTTTTAAAACCTTAAGTAATATATATGTGCATATGTGTTACTGTTTCTCGAATCCTTTAAACATCTCTATCAGAACAGCCTTATAGAGAAAAAATGAACTTAAAAAAACTTCCAACCCTCAAATATTTAGAGATGTAAGATGTTGAAAATATATGCAATAAAGCTTATAATTTATCTTTAAAATACATTTAGTTTATGTTCCTGTTGATCCACATAACTTTGATAATCAAGCTAAGGATCTTTTAAAATATTGTTCTATGGTTTTTAATTTTTAAATTAAAGATCAATGGCCCAAATGTCTCTTTACCTTAAGAGATGAGCTAATAATAATGGTGGTTGTCCATTTTGTTTTTTCTTTTGTGCCATTTTCAGCCATCTGTCTGTCTTTGGATCAATCCAGCTTCTAATGATGCCACAATCTGAAAAAGTGTAAGAGCAAATAGGACATGTAAATGTAGAAATGTTTGATATAAGAGTAAATTAAAGATAGAAAAGAAACTAGGTGGAGCACCTGTATGGGTCAGTGGGTTAAAGTCCAACTCTAGAGTTTAGCTCAGGTCATGATCTCATAGTCATGAACTCAAGCTCTGTGTCAGGCTCCACCAAGGGTGTGGAGCCTGCTTAAGATTCTGTCTCTCCCTCTCCCTGCGCTCCTCCCCCATGGGAGGGAGGGAGGGAGGGAGGGAGGAAGGAAGGAAGGAAGGAAGGAAGGAAGGAAGGAAGGAAGGACGGAAAGAAAGAAAGAAAGAAAGAAAGAAAGAAAGAAAGAAAGAAAGAAAGAAAGAAAGAAAGAAAGAAAGAAAGAAAGAAAGAGAAAGGAAAGGAAGGAAGGAAAGAAGGAAGGAAGGAAAGAAAGGAAGGAAAGAAAGGAAGGAAGGAAGGAAAGAAAGAGAAAGAAAGAAAGGAAGAAAGGAAGGAAAGAAAGGAAAGGAAGAAAGGAAGAAAGGAAGAAGGAAAGAAAGGAAAGAAAGAAAGAAAGAAAGAAGGAAAAAAAGAAAGGAAGGAAAGAAGGAAGGAAGGAAGGAAAGAAAGACAGACAGACAGAAAGAAAGAAAGAAAGAAAGAAAAGAAAGAAAAGAAAGAAAGAAAGAAAGAAAGAAAGAAAGAAAGAAA